TGGTTTTCAGTTTCAGTGAATTTATAGTTTAATTGGTAACTTGCTGGTTTAACTTGGGCACACGTGTGGCAAAGGCAACTGGAAGCTATGGCACTCTTTTTCTCAGCGTTGGCATGCTCAGGGGCAGCTTTGATGTGCAGAGTTTTATGACATGATGCTGCCGAAGCATCAGTAATGCACCCAGGAACTCATTTTCAGGCAGAGATGATGTAATCTGAGAAAATCCATGTTCAAATTTAATGGAAAATCCTCAAACTAACCTTGAGGCATTGTGACACCTGATCTCCCGTAATCCAGTGGGAAGACTCAGAGCTGTTCTTCTGATCTGTGTTGCAGCCAGGCTGTATTTCATGTCACTTAGGTGAATTTTAAATTCCTTTTTGGAGCGTGACACTTGGTCAGGGAGAGGGACTCCTATGGGATAAAAAGTCTGCCAACAAGAAAATCGCCAAAGGACCAGGACAAAGGTATATACTTATGCTTAACAGTGGTTCCCTCCGAAAGCTCTGTGTTAAAAATAGCAAAATCTGAGCAACGCTGCTAGTCTGAGCCATGCCTCACTTTCATCTGTGCAGTGCTAAGAGCAGGGTGTGAATCACTTGTGTTGTTGTCCCCATACACAGCAAAATGTATTTTTGATGGGGTCAAAGCAGCAGCCCCATGAAAGCATTAGCCAGTAACTCTGCCTCTGACAGTGTGTTGCCCCTTCTCTTCAGTTGTGGGAATGTGCTTCTGCAGATGCATCTCATCTCGTTATTTTGCTACCAAAACCTTTTAAGGTTTTGCCTGTATGGGTAGGCAGGGATATATTCCTAGGAGTTCATGGACTAATCCTGTCTGCAGTCTTGGGGTTTTGTTTGAAGGAGAGATTTGTGTCTTCTGTTAAGTGTGGCTTTGGGGTCTGTTTCCTCTCCTTCTGACTTCCATGAAAGCTGGGTTGGACCTTGCATGCTTTGTGGTGCAAGTGGTCAAAATGCTTTCGATGCTTGTTCTAAGGAGGGTTTGTTACGATTTGAATTTCTGCGTGGAGCTGGTGTGTTGGTGACTTTGCCGGTGACCCTTGGTGGCTAGCAAAAGCTCTCTGTCCAAATCCTTACTGAGATCCTGAACTAGACACAGTATTGTTGTCTGGGTGGTCTGGTTCCAGTGCTTGTAAAAACGAATGGGATTTACTGGTGAATCCCAGGGCAATAAATCAGTACAGTGTTTTCTCCGTTGTAGACTGTAAGAGAGAGTTGGTGTCACAACTGCTTACTCAGCATGCTGGAGCCAAACCAGTGTGTAATATAGAGACTGACCAGAGAAAACAAGTGTTGTGGTAGCAGCTTGCAGCTCCTGATGCCAGTGGGTAATGAAGGAATGTTACTGATGTTAACCAGTATCTCAAACCCATGAAATTAGTACTTAGCATCACAAAAATCTTGGTACAACAGAGAAGACAATGCAGTTTCTGAAGGAGGTGGTCTCTTGCTGTTCTGTTCTGTACAATATTGCCTGCAACATAGTAAATCAGTTGGATTTTTTCTGGACTCCAGGAGCATAGAGGTGCAGGAAGATCAGTGGTACCTTGTCCTGGGTGCATTTTTCAGCAATCCTCATGCTTACTGAATCACGTGAATTCACTTTATATACCATTATGGCCTGCCCTTCAGATGCACACAGTGTCTGTTAAAATGCTCCATGGGGAGAAGCGAAACCAGCCCGTGTGCGCGGCACGGCCGATGGGACGGCTGGGGTGCCACCAAGTCCTGGGTTCTGCCATCAGCCAGGCTGCCCTCCCACTGCTTGCTTGCACAGCTTACATATGGGAAAACAGAGGCTTTAAAAAACCAAGACCTACCAAAATTGAACAGATACCAACAACCCCTGGAGACCTTTTTAGCATGTAGCTGCTATCATCTTTATTTGTTTGATTATTTTTTTCTAAGCACAGAAAAGGGGAAACTCAGCTGTTCTAAATGCTTGGAATTTCCTCAGTACGTTGTTCAAACTGTGACTGTTGTGCAGAGTTGTAATTTTCTATTTCTGTATGTCAGACAGCAATTGTGGCTTGTGCTAAGTTAGTATTACCATGCGTATGGCTACTCCTTGCTTGGGCTCAAGGCGAGGGACGACAGGCTGCGGTGCCGGGGCAGGCAGGAGGGCAGATGGGGCAGTTCAGGGCCCCTCCCAAGCTCATTGCCAAGGGCTGTGTCCAGTGGTGATGTTCCCTCTCCTCACCAGTCCTGCCCACACCCCTGCCTTTATGGTGAGGATGTGCAGTAACGTGGAAAGATGGAAATGCAATATTGAACTTCCCTCTAAGCGTTGTTTGTTATGGTTTCTCCATGTTGTCTTTGCTCTAAGGTCCCTTCTCCCTTATTCTCCCTTCAATTTTTTTTCTTTTCCCTTTGAGGGGCTGGTGGGAGAGGAGTGTGTTGTCTTATGGGGTTTCTTTCAGCTTTTATCATCACCTTGTGTCTCACTTTCCTCACAGGGACTGTTGTCATTCCTGCCTTGCAATTGAAACACAAAGAGAACTCTGCTGCTCCGGTGGGCTTGTCCTGCTGTTTCTTTCTATGTTTTGAAGAAGTGCCTTTCTTGCAGAGTTTTCTAGTTCCTCTGTCACTACACTCTTACTTCCTCATCCTTTTTTTTTTTTGTTTCCTTCTTCTCTCCCTTTGCTTCGTTTCTTTGCCCTGGCTGCTGCATCCTCTGGTTCATCTTTGCTAACTCATCTATTTATTTCTTTCTGTCGTTTCATTTACAACTGAATTTCTTTCCTGGGTCTCAAGATAGTTGTTGGGTTGTAAGCATCCAGCACGCGCAGTCCAGGAGGGAGCAGCGGAGAGAGGCAGGATGCTGCTCGGGCCAGGGAGCCAGCAGTGATTGTGTGTCGCAGACAACGGTGCGCATCCTACGCTAGCTGTGGGGTTTCCAGGCATTAAATTATGCAACTCCAGTTTTATGAATTGGGCAGTGTGCCTGTAGCCCTGCAGAGCCAGCTGTAGTGTGACCAAAGACACGTCTCTTCTTTGGATCCTGTTGCGGCAGTGGTGGACATGGGCCACCTGGTATCTTCTCCTCCAGTGTGCGAGAAAGAGATGAAGCCTGTGTTCAGCGCGCCAGTTCTCTGCTTGTTAATGCTCCAGGGCTCTTGTTTATTTATCAGCGTGGACAAATCGCTGTTGTGATGACCTTTCCCCACTTGTGTGAGCTGATGCTGTCAGCAGCTGGATTCTTGCTCCCTGCAGCCTTCTGAGAGCTGCCCTGCCTTGTGCTCAGGGCTTGGCAGAGAAGCCTTAGCAGATATAATTTTGCTACTATCACTAGAATTTTTTCCTCTCATGCTTTTATCAGTTTTATGTAGAATTTTGATGAACTGAATAATCTTGAAAGATGTAAAAACCCTCAAACCCCTAGCAGTTTGAATTTTTTTTCCCCCCTCCCATCTCCTTTATTTCTAGGTGCCTTTGTTGTCTGCTGGACCCCCGGCCTGGTTGTCCTCCTGCTTGACGGTCTGAACTGCACCTACTGTGGGATTCAGAATGTTAAAAGGTGGTTTCTTCTCCTGGCCCTGTTGAACTCTGTCATGAATCCAATAATTTATTCATACAAAGATGATGAGATGTGGGGTACCATGAAAAGAATGATTTGCTGCTCCTCTGAGGATAAGAGCCAGGAAAGACGCTCGTCGCGGATCCCCTCCACAGTTCTCTGCAGGAGCACGGACACCTCGGGGCACTACATTGAAGATGGCATTATTCAAGGGACAGTTTGTGGAAAAGGAGACCTTGGTGGCAAAGGAAACTCCTGACCTATTCAAGGGACTGACTTGGCTGGAAAAGGAGAGGGGGAAGGGAGAGGTTTTGTAAGAGAAGTTTGACTGGCAAAGCTAGTAAACAATATATCTACTTTGTTCCAGAGCCTAAACTCCAGTGTTAACAAAAGTTCTTATAAATAATTGCCTGATGGAAAAACACTTTGTAATGAAGAAAACTTTCTGTGCTGCCGTCTTTCTCTTTTTTTTTCTTTTAAGTACATGAAATTGTTTTTTCATATGAATGGAATAAATATATCTCAGAGACTTCTTGTGCAAGGAAACAAAATGTAAGCAACGTAGTGAGACCCTCCTTAAGCTCCTACAGAGAGGATAAGCCTGCCTCACAGTGCAGGCTTGGCATTCGTTGAGTATTTATGCTTTGAACAGTTTCTGTGCATCTTGAGGAGAATTGTAGGCTTGGTTGGACAGAACTGTGACCTCTTTTCTTAGTTTACAAAGTTCATGAAATAGTTCGTACTTACCCTTTCTCTTCCTTCTCCTTGTCTTGCTTTCAAAATAGGTAGTTTGATGGCTTATTAAAGCTATGCCAGACAGCTGGCTGTGATGGGAAGCCCAGACCAGACACCAGTGTGTGTATGTTCAGCTGTGGATTGTCAGGGTCTGAGAGTACAAAAAGCACAAAAGCCATTACTACTTCCATAGTGAATGCTGCAAGGAGATACACTGCACTCCCTGCTGCCAGATGTCAAGGGTGAATTACCAGAAGAGCAGTGTGGCTGTGTTCGTTATGCTCATTTCTTACTTGGCTGGATAACGTCAAATGGATGTGCTCACCCCTCTTTAACTGCTATGCCACTGAGAGAAATGAAATCCAAAACTCTATTTTAAGAGGGCAAACCTTTAAGGGAAGTTTAAATATACATATATACTGGTTCAATCAAGCTATTTTAAATAGAAATTAATTTACAGGAAAAAAGCCTGAAAACAACCTAAACCCCTGCAAGAATACAGGATGCATTGATTGTCTGACCATGTCTGGACCACATTTAACCTCTGAATTCCAAGCAGATCTTACTGGAAGGTACCTGAGGAAAAGGCCATGAACCAGCAAGCAGTGAAGGACTTTCAGCATTGTGACTGATCAAGACTAGTCTTGAAATAGCCACAGCCCAGTAAGCTGAAGTTTTGACTTAGGGAGTATGCTTTAATGGAGGATCCAGCAATTTAAAACTCTAGGGTAAAGTTTTAAATTTAAAACTTCTGAATTAAGAATTGGAATGTAGATTTCTTGGTACTCTAAAAACCTGGTTCCTGCTGTCTGGTTTCAACAGCAGTGAGCTCCCTTACCTGTGTTGTGTCCTAGAGAAAGCCTGATCCCTGGTATTAAAGCAGGTGACCATGACCAGAGGTCACACTGGAAAGTTTTGGAAGTTTTGTCCACTTGTGATTGTTAGAGAACAATGCTGAGAGCATATTGTATGAGGATGAAAGATAAAGATCAGCTGTGGTTTGGGCAAATCCTTCCTTTGGCACGCCTTGCACGTGGATATCTGGACTGTGTTGGCCAAAGCAGAACCAGCGCTTGTCTCAAAGGCCAGTTGCAGTTTTGTAGAAGGCACTGGGGGGTTTCATAGCAGGCCTTAGCTTACAAACACAGCAGGTGCCTGTCCAGCGAGCTCTCCCGTAACACAAGTTACCTTGTAGGGATATGGCCTAACATTTCAAGGCAGATGCTGTATTTGAGTGATGCTAAAAAAGTTTACACGTGTTTCTTGCCATTATAATGCAATGTTCTTGTGCAAATACTACTTCATTAGTGTGGTGTTTTGAAAAGTGTGTAAAGTGGTGCTTTCTAGAGCCCGTGGCATTGTGAAGGCATAGCATGCGAGCTTTCCTGTCCTTACAGCTACCTGCAATGCACAGTTTGTGTTTACTAGGCTGAAGTTCCATATACAAAGTTACCAGAAAATAAAATGCTACTTCAAAATATGATACCTGTTTTGTTTCCTGTTTGGATGATGATTGAACATTACCTGGGCACTACAGTCAGCAGTAAATGGCTGCTGTTACTCTTACTGATTTCCACAGATCCATCTGAGCTAAAACTGATCAAACTGCAGATAAAAAAGATGGGGAGATGTTGTTTCATGTTACCATGGGGCAGTGGTGGTGGTGGTGGGAGGAATGTTTTATTAAAATTTTAATGTTTACTAGCAATACTAGGTAGTGTAATACTTGGTTGAATCAGTTCCTGAAGAGAGCTTGGAGAAGATGTGGAACATCTGCAGCAGTGGAGAATACAGTGGGTCTCTCCTGCAGAGCTTGGGATTCAGGCTGCAAAATAACTATATGTGGATGATTTTTTTCCAGGTAAGCAGGAAAAGGTGACTCCTGCAAAAGTGAAGGACTGTGCTGTTTGTAGACCACCTCATACAGTGGACTCCTGGTCTGGATTAAGATCTGAGAGGTATTATCAGGTATTATTCTTCTACCAGTAAGTGGGAGGATTTGAGGTCTGCACTCTTATTCTTTATGTTGTCTCATTTAAAAAAAGCCAGCAAAACAAACAAACCAACCCCTAAAAGCTTTCAAACTGGTACACTGTGAATGGTGTTATTTGCAGTGACATGCCTTCTATTTCGGCATGATGCTTCTCTGAGTTGCTACCTCCTTGTCTACTACTGTGAATTACGATGTGACATGACTTGAACAGGAAACTGATCTTGCATCAAACTTTCCTACAAACTGCTACAGCATAGACTGTAGAATGTTTCCTATATCAAACTGTCTAAACATCCAGCTACTCCCATTGCAGGCAATTTCTTTTTAACTCCATAAACATTTATCAGAGTAGTTTGTCTCAAGGAAAACACTAAACCACTATTTGTACTTGGGTGAAAAAAAGAAAGGAAAAAAAAAGGGGGGGAGAGGGCAAAGGGCAGTTGGTGAAGGCAAGTTTTACAGGGTTTCCTTGTTGCCTTTTTCACTAATATCCCGGAATAACAGGTATCAGTGTCTGTTGACTTTGCACATGCCTACTCCTATTTCTATGTGCCAGTGTACTGATCTGCGAGATGACATTCCTTCTTTTGGGGAACACTTGAGGGTGAACACCCACAGAAACATGAGGACATTAATTCTTAGGAAGCAGAGGAAGGCAAGGGTAGAGTTACCATTAAGCTGGATGTTGCAAGGTTTTGCGTGTTTCTGGTGATGCTGGAGGCCTTTCTGTGAGACAGCCTTGATGAGAGCTGCTGTATTGCAGTGAGCAGCAAACAGATACTTCTCATAAAACATCTTCACAGCAATTATGGTTTGAAAACCTTTGTGATATTATCTTCCCTTTCCCCTTTCCAGCTACATGTCTCTCAAACTAAAGTTGCTCTTCCAGTTGGTCAGTGGATCCAGGAAGAAACGCTCCACGGCTTTTCCCAGGGCAAAGATGTATGGGCTGTCCTCTGTGGTTAGCTCTCCCATAAAGCCTGTGTGGTCACAATCATTACAGATGCTTTTCAGAGAATTATTATTAAAAACTGGGAACAATGGAGTTTTATTTTACACGACGGATCTTTTGAATCTTTCTAGATAAGCAGCTAGACTGATCGTTGTTTAATAACTGTGTACATGGGGGAGAAGTTTCTTTGGTGCCTGTGCTGTCAGTTTGACCTAGGTGGTGTGGGTGATGAGTCCCTGTGGGAGAGCAGCCAAATCACCTCAGCTTGGGGGGCTCTGAAGCATGGCTTCTTCACTGCAGTGCTTGACCAAGACTACTTTTCCCTCAGTGTGGGTTTTTTTTAACTTAAAAGTCTCTTCCAGGTAGCAGTTAACTAGAATCATAGAATCACAGAATGGTTTGGGTTGGAAGGGACCTTAAAGACCATCTAGTTCCAACCCCTCTGCCATGGGCAGGGACACCTTGCACTAGACCAGGTTGCTCCAAGCCTCATCCAGCCTGGCCTTGAACACTTCCAGGGATGGGGCATCCACAGCTTCTCTGGGCAACCTGTTCCAGTGCCTCACCACCCTCTCCGTGAAGAACTTCTTCCTGACATCTAATCTAAATCTCTGCAGGTTTAGATTAGACAGGAGCAATACTTCTACTATGATTCTTTCATGGTTTTAGTGAACTCTGCATGAAGATTTCTAAATTACTGGTTATTGGAAGCTCATGGAGGAAAGGTAATTTTAAACATTCCTTACGC